AATATATAAATTATATTGTTATAATACAATGTTATTACAATGTTATAGCTATTAGGAAACTAATTTATATCAATCTTTGCAGACAACTTTCCTAACAAAAAATGTCCATATCTGACACACTGGGAAAAGGACCCGGATAGACAAGTTAGCCCAGAGAACTAGGATTTGATTTGGAAAATAGGACCAGCAACATCAGTCTGTAGCACAACAAAAGAAAATTTCTTTAAAATACCGTTTCAATGGTACCTCACACCAGTCAGGTTAAAATATACATAGAGATTGAATGGGGATAAATGTTGGAGAAATTGTGGTGAAAGAGATTTTATGCATATATACTAGACATGTCCTGTCATTGGAGAGTGTTGGATATTTTCCCTGAGGTTTCTGGATTTTTATATAGTGTTTCCCGTTCCCCAGGGTCCCATTTAGTAACCTGCTGCATCTGTCCCCCAGCAGTTTCAATAAGTTGGCTCTTCTATTTAGAATTGTGGTTGGGCTACTCAACAGTAATTTTCACACAAGCTTATGTATTTGGCTAATTGTTTCCCCCCTGGTTTTCTGGAAAGGATAGAAAGACACACGGATAGCTGCTGTGTTATGACCTTTGACACTACATTTCTATCCCACTCTCATGCGCACAAACAACCCAAAACAGGAAAGTTTACTGAATCTGAAAAGGAGAAAAAGCCAAGAACTCCTTAAGGAGATAGGCCATCCTGTCACAAGGGGACAGCTGAGTGGCCCACTTTTCCACTTTCTCTTAGGAACTTGAAGGGACAACCCAGCAAGCCTGCTCTTCCCATCCCCCCAAACGAGTTTTTCCAGGGGCTTGGCTCTGTAACTGGGGAACTCAGACACTCTTCTGCTGGGTCCTGCTGCTTTCTCTCTCACTTTAAACATTCAGGTTTGTTACGCTGTATGGCTCATCAGGGTGTTGGGGAATCTCAGTATGCCATGTCTTGCTACCAGCTTCCCTTTGAAGAACCCAAAAAGCCATTGGACCTCCCACCCTTTCCCCCACTCTAGAAGCTAACAGCAGGTAGTAAAGATCTAGACTTTAGTGGGGGTGACAAATGTTCTGTGGAGGCTCTGGAACTGGATACTACTTTCAACCTTTTGATATTCACCAGCATTAATTGTCATTAATTAGCCAGTCTCTGAGCTTGGAAAGGTGAAGGGGATTGACTGCAGGAAGGAAATGGATGAAAAGGCAGCAGCTTAGAGTTAAGTCTCCAATGCTCAGGCTAGTTTAATTCGTGATTCATGCCACTGGTCCCAGGAAAAAGCTGATTTCTTGTTAGTACCTTCAGATACCAGTAATTGAAGTTGAATATGGTGATTCCATACACTTCATCGAATTCTAAACAGCAAGCGTTATTTTGGGTATAAAACAATCTCTTAAGTGGTCTGGCCTTTTCTCCGCTCTGAACAATGGTAAGTTACAGTTCCCATGTAGTATTGCTAACTCCAACAATCTTGAGTCCCCCTCGCCCCCCCCCCAAATCATGAGGTGTTTTCTTGTTGATTATATTGTGTTTTTAATGTCTTGATTTTTGAATTCCCCTGCTTACCTCCAGTGTGGTAGCTGCAGCATTGCCAGCTCTCAACCCCCTCCCCCCATTTCTCCCTCTCCCCACCTCGGTCGTTTGCCCAGCAACATGCGTTATTCCTCACAACTCCTCACCAGGCCTATGTTGCAGGGATAGAGCGAGAGAAGTGGAGGGAGAACTGCCCTCAACTGCTGTGCTCTTTCTGCTCCCCATTCCCCTCCTGTGAGAACATTACTTACTGCTTCCTCTCCTCCAACCCCTACCAAAAACCTCCTCCTGGTTCCTGGTGTGTGTGGGGGGGGAACTCAGCCTACTTCCTGCAGCAGCCCTGATTGGCTGCTCTTTCCTAGGAGGTAGAGAATGGGGGAAGCAAAGGCAGCCAATCAAAGGATTCCCCCTGTCCTCCTCCCCCCCGGCAGGACTGGAGCCTCTCAGAGGGAGAGAGAGAGACTTCAGCAGGGGCCAAAATTGTGTCAGGCAGGCTGAAATCACAAGAGTTGGCAACACTGCTGACATAGTGCAACACTTCAACACAATCAAAACAAATAGTAGATGCTTATAAATCACATAAGCCCTGATCCCACAAGCTGCCCCACTTGACCTCTGCCCCCGGCTGCCATTGAATCCAATGGGCTCACCACAGAACAGCTTGTAACATCAGGGCTTTAGCACAGTAGTAGTATATCTGTCTGCTTCCAAACGTGACAAGGCAGCAGAGGGTGGTGCAGAGGGGACTAGTTCACTTGGCAGACAAACTTTCCTGTCAGAGAGGCTAAACATTTCTATATCTTTACTGGAACTTGAATGTAAAAGAACAACACACAACAGATTTAAGATAGACTAAAATAGCTATGGAGTAATATTTCTGCACATCCATCCATGGCTGCAGATTTTTCCTTGCCCATACCCATTATCTTCCTTGCAGTGGTATACATTTAAATATTGATGGATATAGAAAGATGGTTTACACTTTATATTAAGGTAACATTCATAAATAGTTTATAATGTCTAGATGTTACAAGCATGTTACAGATGTGAGCAGTGTACATTATAGATCGTTTTAAGCACATCTATTGAAAGTGTTATAGATGGCTATAAGCGACCTGTTGGACTAACAGTTGATTTATAACTTATTTATAAATGGAATATGATTAAAATATCTGACCAAAAATGAAATTTCACTACTAGAATTTAATCCCTGCTTTGAATACTTTTTATATTATGGGTTCTATTTTCATTTAACATTTATTCTTCTAGTAATGTTAACAGCAATTATGGTCACACATATAGCGGAAACTAGGTCCTTTCAGTGTTGATTTTTTTGAAGGATTTTCAGTATTTCCTACCAGTTGCATAAATACAAAATGCACCCAACAGATTTAACAAAATGCATTTGTTAAAGTAATCTGTAAACTGTGGGGCTCTGTTTATTAGGAGTTTGCTACCTGAGGTATACATAATTTCTTTCAGTGAATTATATAAAGCATTATCGTACACAAAACAGGCAAAACATCCATTAATCAAATGATATGTAACATGGTGGCCCAGATACAAGTAATTATAGAAGGAAAAAGGAATTGAACTTTTAATAATAACTCAAAGGGATCAACATGATGCTTTACAGCAATTTCACAGGCAAGAAAACAATCACCAAATTGCATGTTTGCCACTGGAGGGAGGGAGGGAGGGAGTGTGTGTGTGTGTGTGTGTGTGTGTGTGTGTGTGTGTGTGAATGAGCAGTAATTTGACATGACTCTTCAAACATATTTCATCATTTTCATTTCAAAATGACTTTGTAGCTCCCCAGCACTTTCTGTTTTTCTTTGAATATAAAAATGACCCGTTCTCCGAGCAGTTACTATCCACAGGTCTGACTGAATCATTCCTTTTTTTAAAGGGGGATTTCATGTCCTTTGTAAAATTTTCTATTATTATAATGAAATGCAGAAAGAAGAAGAACAACTTGTTTTTCCTAGAAATCTTCCTCCCAGAACAATAAAGTTTTGAACAAAATATTTTCACAAAATCTCATTTTATCTTCTTTAACAAAGCATGATATGTCGGACTCCTAAGTATAGCCTTATAAAATGACAAGTTACCATTTTAACAGGAGAAAAAAATAGATGAAATCTAATTTCAGGAAAGTCCATGCTGAGTTCAGACAGGTTTTTACAAAAGCAACTTTTCAGAGTTGCCTCTTACATTTCAAGATACAGTCCAGGAAACAATACTTTAATTTATCACTGGCACCATAGCTTTTTTTCCCCATGGGTGAAGTTAGGAATCTACTGCATTATGAAACTGTTTAATTCTGTATACATGTTTCAAATATACACAGTTCAGAACCCCAGCAGAATCCTTACAGGCTACATCCTAAATCCTTCTATTCTCCCCAAACTGTTATTTGCCTCATAAAAGATACAGAAATTAATAACCTAAAGATCTTTATTGCTGGAAAACCATGATGGGACTATACATTTTATTTTAAAAAATCTCAATGCAGTTGTTTAAAAACATTAAATAAAAAGCATCTCAGTAACAAAATATGTAATTAGTGCTTTTGTTCCAGTTACAACTGAGAATACACTGTAATTTAAATCAAAGCTTGTAATTTTCACTAACAAAAGTTGAAATCTCAGACACCTTCATTACATAAAAAGCACAAGCAAAGGAAATTGACCCAATGATAATGTTCTGTATTGCCATGCAGAACACCCAGTTGAGAATCCTTCAAGTAACACATTTGTATACTGGGATGTTTGTGTGTGCTTAAACATATATAAAAGAATTCTCCATATAACCAAATGAGAACCCCTCCAGCTGTTCATGAATGGCACTGACAGATTGAGAAATAAGTCCCATCCACCCCTTAGCAGGAAGAATAGTAAACTGTGATGCAGGAACTCCAGGGTGGTATCAATTAATAACACTTGATATGATGAATAATAGATCCTTTGTGCGATTTTATCACTTCCTAATACTAGCATTATCAATCACTCATTCCACAAGCTGTGCAAAAATATCCATATTTAGCTGATTCAGATAAACTCAATAAACAGACATAGTGGGCATTTGAGAAACATATTAAAACCATTTCACAGGCTAAATGAAATCTGCTGCCATTTAAATATGAAGCCAGAGCAGTCTTATAATACTTTGCTTTCAGATTGCGCTAACAGGAAAGAAATAGGTTACTTTCAAAGGTTGAAAAGCTCCATTACAAACAAACACTCTCTCTCTCTCTCTCTCTCTCTAAACTTGATTTCCATAAAACCAGGAAAGAAAGCACAGCTGCTAAAACGTATTATAAAGAAATCCTTCTATTTCATCTATGTTAGAAAGCTTACAACAAAATGTGGCAAATGACATCACATAAATAGCAAGTTAAACAACATCACACAACAAAGAGAACCTTGTGTATTAAATAATACAACCTTTTAACTGATGATATTTAGTTAATTTTATTTATTTTTGCTTTAGTAATGCATATTCTGTTCACTCAAAGTGTGCAAAAATGGGGACGGAGGCAGGTGTTTAACTTTTCTAATGAAAATCAAGCAGAGGTGAATTTTCTAGCTGAACGAGAGTCCTATTAAACAGGAAAGCTAAAAAACCACAGCTGGTAAGACAAAGCTGCTCGCTCCCAACCTTATGCTGTTTTAGCACACATCTGGCTACGTTGACTGAGCAGCTATACATTAGAAGAGTGACCTCTAGTGGACCTAAGTGACCGGTGTCATCATGGCAGCTACATTATTTAGATCTGGTTTGCAACCAGTTCCAATCAGTGGGTGGCAAAAAGAAGGCACAAATCATTGTAAAGACAAGATTTTTTTTTTTTTTAAATAAGCCATTCTACACAAACTTACATTTATCTTGTAGATTATTTTTGGACATAAAATTGCATATGTAATAGAATTTAAAACATAACACAAGAAGTAGGCTGTTCTACCTGAAGCAAAATAATACCCCTGCCTCCCAAACATCAACATTCATTCTTGGCTATATGCAGTACAAATATTTTAGGAATCTGTGACAAAAGACAATTAAAAAAAAGTCAAAATCATAAAGCTTGTAAACGGATAATCTGAAATACATTTTATTTATGGAAAAATATCATCAAAATAGTACCACTATGGACTAAACTGCCTGAGTTTGCATTTCATTTGTGATCTTGAAGTAGAGACTTTAGCACAATAAGATCAATTTCAGTCACAACCAGTGCCATACAGCAACTGCATCCTGTGGAATTTTTTCCTCTTCATTGGAATTTGTGTTGTGCTATCAAAAACTCTTGTGCTAATCCTTCAAACAAAGGGATATTGAGGCAATTCTTAAATCATTTGGCACAAAGTTATTTTGGCTGGGGCATAAATTTGAGTCTCAGTCATGATGAATAATGTAACATTCCACCTATCAAGTATTCATTTTGATTGAAGAGTTTTCTTTATGTCGTTCACTTCCATCTGCAAAGAAAAATCTCATTAGGTGGTTTATTGGTGTGTCAAATTCAAGCATAGTGCCAGCAGCAAATTCAGTTGCATCTTATCTCAGGGTGTGGTGGGCTTGAAAGTAGAGGAAACTCTGTTATCCCCTTATTATTCCCACCAGCAAAAGCCTCACACATCCCGGTGACTCTCATTCCTGCTAAAAAGAATTGGAGATGGCTACCTTCTTCCAGAGCCAGGCAAAGATAGTCACTGGAACATGTCATGAACTTACTCAGACTCTTCTCCACTGAGTGGAGACTGAACCTTTGCAGCACTCCAAGCCTAAAGGCTTCTCTTCACACAGAAGTTACGCTGGTTTAGTTAAATCAGTGCAACTTGTGTGCGTGTGGATTCTCGTATCTATTTAAAACTGATAATATCAGTTTAGCTAGCAAGCTCAACCAATATAAGCTAGGTTAAACTGATATAAGAATGTCGACATGCAAAAGTTATAAAATTGTTATAAAAAAAATCACACCTTTAGTTAGAGCAGAACAGCTCTGTATTTAGACCAGACTTAGCTCTGTCCTGAGGAACTGGAATCCAGAACTCTGAATGGTACTGACTGCTAGGTCAATCCAAGAATTTCTATAAAAGGTTTATTAACCTTCGCTGAATTGTTAATTATTAAAAACTATGGCCTCTCACAGATCTGCCTATGCAGAAGAAATATTCAGAAGGCCCCGATTCTGCTATCTTTACTCGTGTTGAACAGTATGTTATTAAGTAAGAGCAGCCCATTGAAATCATGTTTTGATTTTCCATCATTAGTATAAAAAATATACAGCCACAAAATAAAAGTAAAAATATCAAAGTAATGCTAAAACCTTGTTAATGACAAGTATGTCAATCCCCAAATCATGAAAAGCAGTTTCAAAGTTACTTTATATATGAAGCAGTATATCTGATGGTCCAAATAATGGCTCAGTTCTACTACATTTACTCATGTTGCCGGTGTCAAGTACTACTCAAGTGACTGATTCAATAGGATGACTCCAAGTAAGGTCATATTCAATGTTAAAGAAGCAGAACCTTGACTCTTAATGGAAATAATATATATTTTTTAAAATGATACTTTTTTAGAACTATCAGATTGTGTGCAAGAGAAACTGCAGAATCTTGTTAGCTGAAATTAACTTTTCAAATAAAATAAGACCAATTCTTATTTAAAAAGTCACTAGCAGACTGTAAATCACATTTTAAAACATAAATTCTCTCATCTATTTTATGAACAAATTAGATGATTAAAACTAAGAATTTTAAAAACAGATTTCACTTTCCACTAGCTAAACTCTGTTTACTTGTTTGTATTTCCTTCAGCTTAGACAATAAAAATAGATTATTCAGATTCCAGAAAATTTTCATATTTTCATGTGATAACAGCATATAGATTGCAAACACTGCAGGGGGAATATATATTTGTTTATATACATACATTCTGTTAATATAAAAAGAAATTCAAATATATTTATCTTAAGTTTTATAAGAGCTTGTTTGCCCTAAGTTTGAGGCTAAATTTGACCTGCCAGTATCCCTATAAAGTTGTCTCCGACCACATAAGATTCAAGTACCTGTAATCGTAGACGGATCTTTTTTTCTTCATCCAATTCAGACAACAATTGTTTAATCTCTTTTCTATAAAAAAAGAATGAAAAAATTGCAAAGGTTCATATTATTAAAATAAAGGTAATTATCTTTGAACCATTTCCCCACTGTATTTTCTCAATAATGATTTATCGAAGTATTTATATCCTTAAAACATTTTGCATTAGTTTAATTTAAAACAGATAATAGACAGAAGTGACTTCATTTATGCTTTTGGAAAACAGCTGTGTAGCAGCTGACCATTTTTGTTCAACTTACAAAAATAGGACTGTTTATAGCTCTCATTTTTTGTATACGACAATAGGAAATTTGGATTAGTCCATTGGTAGGTTACAGAAACTGGTAACCTAAGCGATCACACATTTAAACTGTTTTAAACTGTTTAACAAAGCACTATTTAAACTGCATCTTAACTTAGAAAGCTAGATAATTCCCAAGTGTAGGTCACCAAAAAATGGTCTGTTGTCCAGGGGATGTAATGAAGGGAAAAGAAATGGTTTCTGACCTCTGAAAGGTAAGACCAGGATGTGATTATTTGGAGGAGGAAGTTTCACTATATCTTTCCCATAGAGAGATCCTCTCTTCTGTCCCAGGCCTGTGCTCTGAACATAATAAATCTTAGAGAGATAAGGTGGGTGAGGTAATATCTTTTATTGAACCAACTTCTGTTGGTGCGAGAGACAAGCTTTCGAGCTTATACAGAGCTTTTCTTCAGGTCTGGGAAAGGTACTCAGAACGTCACAGCTAAATATAAGGTGGGACCAACATGGCTACAGCAACACTGCATGTAATAAATCTTGTCACATTCCTGTTTATTGCCTTGTCCCGCAAGCCAGAAACCAGTAGTTGGAGGCAGCTCCTGTTAGAATGTCAGGCCAGAGGCCTTGTGGGGCCAGTGGCTATGCAAGGCAGGTTGGGAATAGGTGTCAGTTGGCCCAAATTGGGCCACATTCACCTCGACAACCCCTACTTGACAGCCCTCCCCAGTGTTCTTTTATTCCCCTACAGTCGCCTTGTTTTGTCACATTCCTCTGCCACTACAGTGTCTTTAACAGTACTCCTACAATCCTCTTCCCCAAACCTCTACATTACCCTACCCCTTTACCATTTTTGGCCTGGCCACACATGGCAGACATCTTTCCAGTGGGCACCCTGACTTCATTCCCACTGGGAACAATGGAAGATATCAGCAATATTCAGGAAGGGCAAAAATAATGAGAAAATCCCAGCTTCTGAGATTTGAGCAGTTTAAACTCTCCCAATATCTCCCCCCCTGCCCCAGAATAAAAATAAATGTAAGACTCAGAATAATAACAGGAGAGTTTTCAACTCATTATTAATCACAATTCAGTTACGGTATTGCCAGCCTCATGAGATCAAAAACCATGAGCCAGTTCCTAAAAAAGTAATGAGATTTATAAAACATCATCAAACCATGTTTTTTTAGTCTGTCTTTTGACTTTTTACCTCCCTCTACTCTTTTGGTAATGTGTGTATGCTAATTTCAGGTTGAAAAGTCAACTTCAATGCACACATGGTTCTCCCTGGCTGCTCAAATGGGGACGCTGAAGGTACACAAACATATTTAAGGAGAATTAGAATGGAGAAGATGCAAAATGGTTAAATATTTGTTTTATTTAGGCTAGTCCTAAGGGGCCTCTGTTAATGGTATCTCCTTATTAGGATGGATACCCCTTCAAAAGTATCCCTTCAAAAACAGAGAGAACGGATAGAGAGAGGGAAGACACCCAGGCTGGTGGGAAAGAGGGGGAGTACTTATGTTAATTTATTGTACACAGGTATAATAAATGTACTCAGTGGAGAGCACTATAATGTGATAAATATAAAATATGATGAAAAATCTAATTCACATGTATTTCAAAACATACAAGGCCTGTAAAATGGAGGTGGAAAATGAATAATGAACACCCAAGAAAGAGGAGGTTACTCACCTGTGCAGTAACTGATCTTCTTTGAGATGAGTGTCCCTGTGGGTGCTCTATTGTAGGTGTCGGTGCGCCCCTGTGCCGTTGTTCGGAGATTTTTACAGCAGTACCCGTATCGGCCGCGCATGCATGGAGCCTGCCTCACATACCAGTCTTATCTTAGTAGCGTGCATGCGCGGCCGAACTCCTCAGTTCCTTCTCTACAACGGAGCCCGCCCAGCTCCGAAGTAGAGGGGAGGAGGGTGGGGAGTGGAGCACCCACAGGGACACTCATCTCGAAGAATGTCAGTTACTGCACAGGTGAGTAACCACCTTTTCTTCGAGAATTGTCCCTGTGAGTGCTCCACTGTAGGTGACTGAAAAGCAGCGTCTCTCAAGGAGGTAGGAACTTCGGATCTGGAAGGAATGCAGTAGATAGAACAACTCTGCCCACATGCGTATCAGTGATGGATCCCTTTGTAAGAGCATAATGTTTTGCAAACGTATTTTTGAAAGCCCAAATGGCAGCTCTGGAAATGTCCTTAAGGGGGACGTTATGTAGAAAGGACACTGAGACCACCATGGATCTGGTGGAGTGAGTCCTGATAAAAGTAGGAGGAGTCACTTTCTGTAGTTGATAACAGAGACAAATGCAACTTGAGATCCAGTTGGAAAGTCTGTGATTAGAGATAAATGAGCCCTTAGAGCGTTCTGCAATGGGGACGAATAGCTTGTCGGAACGCCTAAAGGTTTTAGTCCTGTCAAAGTAGAAGGACAAAGTTCTGCGCACGTCCAAAGTGTGCATCGTAGATTGAAAGGAATTACCTGGAAAAGGTAGGGAGATAGATAGGCTCATTGAAGTGGAAAGATGAGTGCACCTTTGGTAGAATTTCGGGGCGTAAGCGTAGGGTGACTTTGTCCTTAAAAAATATGGTTTATGGCGGATCTGCCATGAGTGCTGCAATTTCTCCTGTGCGTCTCGCAGAGGCAATTGCTACCAGAAATGCAGTTTTCATAGAGAGATGTAGGAGGGAACATGTGGCTAATGGTTCAAATGGTTTTTGGGTTAGGCATGTTAAAACTAAGGGAAGGTCCCAAGGTGGATTAGGCGGTTTGATGTCTGGGTATAGGGTATGCGGTCCCTTAAGGAATCGCTTAGTAATGGGATGAGCAAAGATAGTCCTATCATCGATGGCATTATGGAACATTGTAATTGCAGCCAAGTGGACTTTGATGGGACTCAGGGAGAGTCCAGAGAGTTTAATCTCTAACAGGCAGTCGAGGATTAGCGGGAGAGGTGTGGAAAAAAAGGAGCGGTTTTTGTGACAGCCCACCAGTGTGTAAATCTTGTCCAGTTATGAAGGTAGGTGGTGCATGTAGAATTTGTTGTGCTATGAAGGAGTACAAGTTCGCTCGGCATGAGAGAACCATGAAGGAGCCAAACCTTGAGGTGTAACATGGTTAAATTGGGGTGGAGTAGTAGACCATGTTGTTAGGACAAGAGATTCGGGCGGAGGGTAGTGGGATGGGTGCGGAAAACGACATCTTGGTAAGGAAAGAGTACCATGCCTGTCTGGGCCACGGGGGCTATCATTATGACCCTGGCTTGGTCTGTTTGTATTTTTATCAATACTTTGTGTATGAGTGGTATCGGGGAAATGCATACATTAGGTCGGTGTTCCATGGGAACATGAACGCATCCCCTGAGGAGTGTTTGCCTAGTCCCGCTCTGGAACAAAATCTTGGGCATTTCTTGTTTGCTGCAGTTGCGAAAAGGTCTGTAGTTGGGTATCCCCATGTGTGGAATATGTCTAGTACTATATCCTCATTTAGTTCCCATTCGTGGTCTATGAGAAATCTTCTGCTGAAGTTGTTGCAGTGGTATTGAGAGAGCCAGGTAAGTATGCAGCTGATAATCAGACATTGTGTCTGAGGCACCAGTTCCATTGTTTCATCGCTTATGTACAAAGGGAGTGGGATCGCCCCTCCCCCTCCCCCTTACCTGTTTACATAGAACATGAAAGCAATGTATTGCTCAGAGTTCTAGATGTTGATGTGAAGGGACGTCTCTGCAGGAGATGAAAGCCCCTGGGCAGTGTATTGGGGCATGTGTACTCCCTATACTCCCTATGTGTACTGTACATCCCTACAGTAAGGGATGTGCCTGTAGTTATGACAACCGACAGGACGTCCTGTGGAAAAGGGACCCCAGAGCAAAGGTTGTGAGGCAATGTCCACCAGTGGAGGGAGTCCTTGACTCTGGGAGGTACATATAAAAGTTTGTTCAGACCATGGACATTCGTCTGTAGACAGTGGAATCCAGCTTTAGAAACACCTCATGAAGAGGTGAGCGTTCCTGACTACAAAAGTGCAAGAGGCTATGTGGCCTCGGAGTTGTAGGCAAGCTCGTGCAGCCACTTGTGGACTGTTGCACAGCTTGGGAACGAAAAGGTTGATGGTGTTAAAAAGGTGGAGTGGGAGAGATGCTATTCTTTTGCGTGAGTCAAAATGTGCTCCTATGAACTTCAATTGTTGAATGGTAGTGAGTGAAGATTTTCTTTGTTCATTCACAGGCCAAGAGCATGGAAACATTGGACTGTCCATTGTGTGGATTGAATGGCTTCTTGGAGGGTCCAGGCTTTGAAAAGGCAGTTGTCGAGGTAAGCAAAAATTATGATTCCCTGATTTCTGAGATGAGCTGTTATGACTGCGAGGAGTTTGGAAAAAACATGAGGCACTGTCGAGAGGCCAAAAGGTAGGACCCTGTACTGGTAGTGTTGTGAGCCCAGAACAAAATGAATAAAACATCTGTGGGCAGGATGTATGGTCACAGGAACATAAGCATCCTACGGGTCGAGGGCTGAAACCCAATCTCCCTGCTCCAGTGCTGGAATTATGGTTGCAAGAGTCACCATTTTTAAAAAAATTTTATGTAACGAATTTATTGAGGCATCTGAGGTTGAGAATGGGTCGCCATCCCCGAGTTCTCTTTTGTGTTAAAAAGTAATAGGAGTAGAACCCTTTTCCTCTGTGGTGGTCAGGCACTGGTTCTACTGCTCCTAATTGGAGGAGGTGATGCACCTCTTGGTGGAGCAGTTGTTTGTGAGAGGGGTCCCTGAAAAGGGACAGGGTGGGGGAGGGCAAAGATAGGAAGGGAATGGGCACTGAAGTAGGGATGATGTTTTCTATACTCTTGATCACATCTTCAAGTTTGCTGGGAGAGGGCTGACAAGGAGCCGATAAATTGGTACGGCGATGTTGATATCTTGGTCACTGACGTTGTTGTTCATATGGTCTATGACTTTGTTGAGTATACGCTGGGTGACATGGATGTTGATAAGGTTGGTATCTATATTGTCTCCTCCTATTTGCAAGGGTTTGGATACCGAGAGACCGTAATGTTGCTCTCGAGTCCTTCATGGAGTGAAGCACATCGTTGGTGTTACTGACAAATAGTTTTTCACCATCAAAAGGGAGATTTTCGATGGTATTCTGAACCTCGCGAGGAAAAGAAGACGATGAAAGCCATGAAGCTCAACGCATCACGACTGCAGTAGCAGTGGACCTTGCAACTGTATTAGCAACATCAAGCACAGCTTGTACTGCGGTACGGGAGACGATTTGACCCTCGAGACTATGGCTTTAAACTGATTTTTTTTGCCCTCTGGGATGTCATCAATAAAGTCCATGAGTTTCTTATAATTTTTGTGGTCATATTTTGCCAGAACGGCTGCATAATTAGATATCTGGAATTGTAATGTGGGCAAAGCATACACTTTACGACCAAGCAGGTCCAGCCTTTTACTGTCTTTATCAGTTGGGGTAGACTTGGGAACTGGTGTTTGTTCTTTTGCCTCTACTACCAATGAGTTTGGCGCTGGGTGAGTAAAAAGGAACTCAGACCCTTTGGAAGGAATAAAATATTTCCCGTCAGCTCGCTTACAGGTAGGTGTGCTAGTAGCCGGTGTCTGCCATATGGTTTTGGCAGGATCCATAATGGCTGGATTTATAGGTAAGGCAATCCTGGATGTGGAGGAAGGTTGCAGGATGTCAGTCAACTCATGTTGGTTTTCAGAAATTTCCTCCAGATTAATCCTCAACTCGTTGGCGACTCTTTTGAAGAGGTCTTGAAATTTTAAGAAATCATCCGACAGTGTTGGTGGAGGAAGGCAGTATAGCCTCATCCTGTGTGGATACGGGCTCCACAAGGATTGGGGAAGCATGTGTAGCGTGTTCATTGAAGTGTGGAGTAACAGCTTGTTGTTGTGTCTAATTCGTAGCCGTATGCACTGGTGATGGGGAAGTGGCATTGTTCCTATTTTTGGCATCTTGGCAATCATAGTGGAATCGCTTATATGGTGCCCAGGGACCACAGTATTGCCACTGACCAGGGAAGGGCATAGGTGGTGCTATCCACGGGTTTGTATACCAGGGAGGGAGGGGAGGTCTTTGATGAACGAAGACCTAGATTTTCTATGACCAGTGCTGATTTGGGTCTGTGACTGGGACAATTGGTATGGTGAAAAGTCTCCCTGCACTATGGCTTCCTCATCACTAGAAAAGTGAGATACAGCCAGAGACAGCTGTCCGGACCGCATGTGAATGTCAGGAGAAAAATAGGTGTCAAGTGGTGGTGACTGTAGGTTAGGTGACATCTGTAGTCCGGTGAATGAATGAACTGCAGTGCTGGAGAGCCTGTGTGAGATAAACCCTCCGTTAGGAGCGCCTGCGGCGCTGGAGGGTCATTCGGCACTGACGTTCTCTGCACCGTAGTGCTCAATGCATGCGCTGAGGTTGGAGATGCCGTGGAGGTAAGTGCAGTCCGTGTCTGTTCCGGCAAGGTCATGTGTGCTGGCACCGTGTCCACTGCGGTGCTGGACAGTGCCATGAGAGAGGCAGGCAACTTGAAGCCTGAAGCCTCGGCACCGGGAGCTTGTGCTGTTGACGCAGCCACAGGCGGGACTAGCGTGATGCTGGGGGAACCGGTGTAGCGGCACAAACAGCAGCCCATCAAAGGAAGGTCTGCATAGAAGAAATAGACCTGCTCAGCGACCTTTTTGCTTGCAATGTTTCCCTTCTGGGTGAGGGAGGCAGGCGTTTTCTTTTTTCGTCCTTTTTGGAGGCGGGAGGGCTGCAGTTCACTGAGGAGCCCGTACCTGGTTCAGAAGCAGGTACGAGTGACTTCTGCATAAGAATCATTTTCAGTCGGAGTTCTCTGTCTTTATGTGCCCTGGATTTTAATTTGGAACAATAGGCACATTTTTGAGGAATGTGGGACTCCCCCAGGCATTTTATACACTAGGAGTGATCATCTGAGATAGGGATGGTGTCCCTGCACGTCCCTGCTTAAATCCTGGGGAGCCAGGCATATTAGCGTCGGCTGGAGGCTGATAGAAACAAGTGGGAACAAATTGTTGTTTTTTGTTTTTTTTTAAGGGATGAACTTATCTAGTAACTACAGTGCAAAACTAAGGGGGAAAAGGATGTAGAATGGGAAAGAGAAAAAGTTTTAACGAGTCTGCTGTAGGACCGACTCCGGCCGGGGACGGTAGAGAAGGAACTGAGGAGTTTGGCTGCGCATGCGCACTACTAAGATAAGACTGGTATGTGAGGCAGGCTCCGCGCACGTGCGGCCAATACAGGTACTGCTGTAAAAATCTCCGAACAACGGCCCTGGGCGCACCGACACCTACAGTGGAGCACCCACAGGGACACCTCTTGAAGAAGAACACAAAGCACTCTTGCTATGGATCAAGTTTTCCAATTATTTTTCAATAAACATTTATGTGAGCTGCAATGATCTCTATCTACATGAATATGTTTACAACATAAACCATCTTTCAGAGCTTTCTATATTTCAGCGCAATAATGATACTTATAATCCCTAAACATTATCTTTTAAATAATTCAGTCACATTCAAAGTATTTAACAAATAACTTTAGACCATTCTTTCTTTGTGTAATTTGGATAACTGTGTAACTATATACATTATCCAGTAGTTACAATAAATTATTGTTTAAAAATCTCATAATTGTCCAAATAGCTAAAAAAATTCATTTTTATTTTAATTGTTCTTCCCTCCTGCGCTTCCTGGGACTTCTCCACTTCCTTAAACCCAGCAGCACACCCTAGCCCCCACCATCAGTTCAGTGCCCCCATTCCCATCAGTCCCCATTCCCACATTTCAGCTCCCCCTCCCCCAGCCACACCACTGCTCCTCCTGGGGTCTTCATTCCCCTTTCCCAGGCCTGGGGGTATACAGCAGCATCCCCTCATCTCCCCTTTCCCACAGGCTCTTCACCTCTCTCTGCCCCTTCCCTGCCCAGGTGCTGCAGGGGAATGCAGTGAGGAGCAGAGGCACCATGCTGGCAATGGAGCAGAAGGAATGGAGCCATGCTGGGCTGCTGTGCTCTTTGCTTCCTCCCCCTCCCTCCCCTTCTGTGAGAACACTGCAAGCAGGATGGAGAGGCTCTGCTGGCTTATAGCAGGGCTGAACTTCATGAGGGGGCTGGAGTGTCTCACATCATGGTAAGATGGGCTCCAGACCCTCTGAAATCCCGTCACTTGCGACACAATCATTTGGAGGAACAGCTTTCTGGGCAATTGTATTAACAGTTTAACAACTACTGAAGAATTTTAGTATAAAAGCCCACTAGAAATGCTTCTCAGCTTTCAGATCAACATATTTAAGAGTCCCTAAATGGCCACTGATGGATTAGACAGTAGCATCTTGTTAGACTCCTTAACCTCGATCAGTCTACAGTTCAGCTTTTTAAAAAGTCCAGGTAAACATGTACTTATATGATAAAACAACATAGCTTCAGAGAAGCTGTTACAAACTATCAGATTGACTGTATCGGTGATTTAAAATTTTTCTCAACATCTATTTGTCTTCATGAAATCTTTTTGTCTGACAAAAAGATCAAAGGAATTTCACACACAAACACATATATTATATGGAAAAGATTGGTACAAAGCACAGTAAAGATGCTTCGAATGGATGTTGTGGTTTCTAATGCTTACTTTTGCTGGTCTTTCATTGTCTCAACGATAGTTCTTAGCTCCTTAACTTGTGTCCTCAGCTCCTCCAAGGCTGCTGGACCCTGGCTTGAGAGCTCAGTCTTTGGCTTTCCTTCAGTACTGAACAAAGATGGGGAATTTGACCTATGGCCTGTTGTTCCCACAGTAACTGAATGAAGTGCAGGTGAGGATGAGGAGGATAATGATGCTTGTATATTACTCCCACTAGTCAAACCCCCTGGTTTTGGAGGCAATGAAGTTTTATTATCAGACACCTGTCAACAAAAAACAAGGAATATTAAGTTGCCTGAATTGGAAGCACATCTCGGTATCAGGTATATTTTACTCCCCTGCAGTCATGCTGATGGGTTTGGTTAGAACCTTTCCATGCTTGAACATGGCACAATGGATACACCACTGGTACTCAAATCTGTCTTTCTGAACACTCACAATATTAAGCTTGAGCCTGCCAGGGACCCTCAGCCCAGCCCATCACTAACTGAAATGTTTTCCATCAGTATTGTTGCAATTGACCAGGAAAAAACATTACCAAAATGTAGGTCACCAATAAGGCAGGTACAAGAGTGAAAAGAGTTAAAAACAGAGATTTTACATTTTTATTAAGACGACACAGGCAATCCTCTAACAAAATTAAGTGCTTGATACATGTTTTACACAGAACTTTGTTATAAGTCAGAGTACGCTTAGCTAAGCTGACCTATTTTTGTGAGAATGCAACTTGTGTCATGCAGAGAAACTAAGTAGGATTTCTTGCAGTACCAAATTAGTTGTGATTTTCAACTAGTAATTGAAAGATTCTGTCTGCAGTCCAAAACACAGTTAAAGAAAAGGAAAAGTTACTTTACCGATACTATTACTTAGAGCTATATAATCCTTAAACCTCCCTGACTTATCTTCCATCAGAACAAATGTACCACATATTGCAGGAAGTATTCATCTATCAATGAGAAACATAATATGTTCAACTACTTTAAAAGAATTGTGTAACTTTGGTACTGAGTTTCTGCTCATGTCTACATCTCTACACTTTCATACAGGAATTCTGGGGCTTGGAAGTTTCATTGTCTTAATCTATCTATGTAGTTACTTATATGGGCTCACATCACTGAAGTGTCTGAATAAAAAAAAAATGGATTTTTATCCACACAACATACCTGTGAAGTGGGGAAGTATTATTCCTATTTTACAGATTAGGAATTGAGGCACAGGTTAGACTAAACTCTGTCACTTACCGATGTTGGCAGAACTCTGGGAACAGTATTTGCTGATTTAAATGCTGCACGGAGCACAGGGAGCAATACAGAAAGTGTTCTTTCAGTAACACCATAACAAATGTGGCTCTCTTTCTTTTTAAAATATCCCATCTAGAATTTATATTTTGTGTTAAGGTAGTGCCTAGAGGTCCCGTTGTGCTAGGCACTGTACAAACACACAGTAAGAAACAGGTCCTGCCCCAAAGAATTTACAGTTTAAGGGCTGGCCTACACAAAAATTTTATACCAATTTATTTCAGATGGGGTGTGATTTTATATTGATATATTTAGAGTGGTACAACCCCTGTTGTGGGCAGGTTTCAACAGTTTAAAGGTGCTTCTAAATATATAGTTGATGCCTGTACATTTATATTTATGTCTGTTTCTAAACTGATTTAGTGAAAGTGGTACAAAAACTACATGTGGACAAGCCCTTGGCAGATAAGACAAAGCGTGGAAGAGGAAACAGAAGTACAGGCACAAGGTGTCTCAAAAGGTGGTAGAGGTAATAGAACCCAGGTCTCCTGACTCCCAGTCTGATATCCACTAGACCATGCTAGGATTTTGTTTTTTTCCTCTAGAAGTGTGCTTCATACATTTAGGATCCAGAGAACTAGAATCAGAATAAAACAAATGTTTAAGTTAAATGAAATTTGGTGCCTAAAACCTTAACAATAGTCCTCCGCAGCTCCCTTGTGAAGTTTAGCTAGAACAGTAAGATAGTTTAGAGCAGTAAATACAGATGTCTGTATTCATTATTAACCTGGTTCCATTTTCTCTAGATTACTGTGATGATATATTATCAATATGACATGTTCTAGACTGTTCACTCACCCAGTACCATTTAAAGTTTTGCTAGTACAGCTTATTTTGCTCAGGGAGTTGGTATAAGATATATTGGGACACACACTTTTTTGCCAGTATAAAAGGTGTCTACAGTAGGAGGATTTGTCCATATAGCTATACTTAGCTGTACATAGCTGTAAGGGCAAACCTTTTCTAGTGTAGACTAGGCCTCCATCTTGTGTTTCGCTGTAGGACAATACTTCAGTATTACAGTATATGTATTTTTTAAAACTAACTACCCTGAGGTGCCCAGTTACTGAGATGATGGGTACCATGAAATAAATAAAATAAATGACAATGCATGTACTTGAGGATAAGTTAGCAGATGCAGAGTAATCAAAACAGTCTGATTAACTTACTTGTGATATTGTAACAGTCTTTGTTTTCTTTGACACTTCAGTTGCTTTATGTATAATGGACACATGTTCTTCCTTTTCCTCTTCAGGGCTTGGTGAGTCAAAGAAATCAGGACTTGAAAGGGAGGACTATATAGGCAAAACAATAAAACCAGATATTTTCATTCTAGACTACTTTTAAAAGAAGAAAATTACATAGCAAATAATATCAAAAGTTATACAAGACAACTTATAATTCAAAAGGAAGATTTTCAAAGTTCTGTTTTAATTAATACCTTGTTTTAAAGGGTGGTGAATGGAAAGATAGGCATTGAAATGACAAATGCGTAATGGCTATATTGCGATTTAGGGGAACTCTTTGTTCAGAAGAAGATGCACAGTGCCTTCCTGCCCCCCAGAAGAATTTTAGTTTAATGAGGCAGAATTTTCCTGAGGTTAATAAGGTGTGTGTGCTGCTGTTACTTCAGTTCCACCGCACTGGGAGAGGGTGCATTTGGCTTGGTCAGGTGCAGGCCTCACTCTACTACTTTTGGAGAGGTTAGTGCTGCTCTCTGTACACAACGCCTGCATTCCAACGCCTGCGTCTTGCACAGAATCAACCACAAACTGGCTCTTAGATTTATTTTAAGTAATGTAACCTTCCGTTTTTGTTCTCTTTTATTTCCACGATGAGCCATTCACCTTCCCTTCACTTTATTTTCAGCATATGAACATGAGACATTAGTGTTAGCCATAGCACACTCTCATTTAGACATCCCGACATGCAAAAACAAAAAATGAAAATTATACACAAAAGATTGAGCATTTGTGCATTACCAAATCTTTGCTTTTTTAAAACAGCAAAATGATATTGGTCACACACCAGGAAGCTGGGCACAATTTGATCTATATAACAGATTCAGAAAAGTTAGAAAAAGATAGCTTTACTCCCTCTCAATGGTATTTTAACAGATGAAAGGGAGGCCCTATTATGTGGAGCTAGTAGTCTGGACTATGTCTTCATACATTAAGGGCTGGATTAATGCAGGGCCTATAGAGGCAGCAAAATTATAGATCTAGATATTGATATATAATTTATAGCATCTTCAATTGGCAGTCATGTTCCTTCACACTTCCTGGAAAGCAACAGCCAATCAGAGCTGCTCAGCAGACCTCGCTCCCTCTCCCCTCAGGAACCTGGCCTGTTCTCACAGGAAGGGAGGGATGCCCCTGCTCACAGGTGGAGAGGAAGAAGCATAAAGAGCTCTGCAGCATTGGGCAGCTCCACTCGCTCTTCCCCTGCACCACCACCCCCTCAGCAGGGATGGCTTTTCTGTTCCTCCCTCTCCCACCCTGTAACTCCTGACCAGGGAAGAGGGAGGGAGGTGAAGGGGGAGAGGGGACTCTGCTGCAGCCCTCTCTGGCCTGGAAAAGGGGGGTGAAGAACCCCAGTAGGAGCAGAGATGAGGCTGGGGAGGAGGCACAGCCGACGGGGGGCGCAAGAGGGCAGAACTGATAGGGGGCTGGGCAGTATTGATGGGGGCACCAGATGTATGTTGTAGCTGTGTTAGTCCCAGGATATTAGAGAGACACTGTGAGTAAGGCAAATCTTTTATTGGACCAACTTCTATGGGTGAGAGAGACAAGCTTTGGAGCTGATACAGAGCTCTTCTTCAGGTCACTGATGGGTTCTGTGCAGATGCACTTCAGTTTATTTGCCCTCTATTGACTGTCATGCCATGTATTTAATGTAGAAACTTTTCATTTACATTTAAACACATTAGAGCTACAATGCGTTGATACATTTCTACTTACAGTGGTACACTTTTAATCAGGAGCTTACTCAGATAGTTATACAACATGAAGTGATGAGTAATTGACATACTTTCATGTGATTACATGCTGCACAGAAGTTTAAAAAAAAAAGATGGTGCAAGTGTCAAAATTTCAGACAATAAGGAAAAGAAAGTTAGATGTCCCTTCATTCCTCGTGAATTTAATTTATAATTTTAATTTCACAGTTTCAATAGAATTAATATAAATAGCATGTTGTGTTAATAGTATTACAGTGAATCTATATAATTATTTGCTTGAAAGATTTTGTTGCACTGTTGCATACTGGCTCACTCAACCTTTTATTTTGAGATTAATACATACAATTGGGCACACCACTCTTGGAAGGTTGTGAGCCCTGGCCAGTGGCAGTTTCACTAGAGAGCAAACACCTGAAGAGCCCTTTGGCCCACCAAGATTTGGACTTTGCCTTATCTGGCTCATCAGAAAATGTAACTGAATACCATTGCTATTGGTAATTAGGTAATTAAAGCCTTACTACTAGTTATGGCCCAAAATTAAAATGGTTTTGTTCATTTTAACTTTAATTCAGCGTTACCATATCACATTTAAAAAGAAAAGTGAAATAACCAAGGTAATTTAACAACTGATTCTTTGGCATTGGACAGAGGTGGTGGTAAAACAATGAAGGAAAGAAACTGAATATGCAAGGAGGGACTCCCAAAACTGTAACAGACCTGGGCCCTTATCAAAATTAATCTGGCCCTGATATACACCTGGGACCTTTGGGTCATTGGTTGTTGGATGTGAGTAAAAACAAATACATTATTTAGCGCTAACAGCAGCTAGTGGGTTGCTTGATAACGGAATTGAACAGGATGTGTGAATAGTGGATAGGTTGCCTTTTATCATTGTGAGCACTTGCATGGGTACATGATAAGTGAGAGAAGGCCTGTTATTAGGAAATCACAATATTATATTACACTATTATATTATAACTGGAAAAAGTTCATGTGTAGCTACTGAAATTCTTCCTTTCCCCTTCTTGTTCAATCCCTTCAATTCCATCTTTTCCTGTCTTTAATTTTCATTTCTTCATTTTCTTTAATTGTGTTGCTACTGAACTTATCTGGCTGTGCCCTATACCAGTCACATGTTTAGTATCTGGAGATGTCAGAAAGAGTCTTTTGGGTTTTCAGATCTATTAAATAGTGACCCTTGGCACAACCAACAGATCATTTAGATTCCTTCATCTGAGACAAACTGTTTATTGGGTGCAGCTTGTTGAGCAAGAGTTTCCTAAAAGTCATAGTTGATGTGCAAGTGATGTATAAGACATGGAGTCTTCTGTCAATTGCCCCTTTCTATTTCTTTCTTGTAGTGAAAAAAAAGAGATGAAATTTGAGTTTCTCACAGTAACTATGAGTCAAGAATAACAGCTCTTATAGAAGAGGCAGTAAAGTAGGAGAGAAACAACATGCAAACATCTTATAGGTGTCTGGACAATGAAATTTAAAAGTATGACTTAATATGCAGAAAAACTGCAATTGGCATGTTATTACAGCAACATATATAGAGTGTGTGTGTCAGTTATGAGTAGCCCATACCTTAACAAGAGGCTTCTACAAAGACATTCCCCTTAGTCTGTGAAAATCTCCATTTTTTCCAGGGATGCATATGTTTGCAAAGAGGAAGGGTGAGGGACTTCAGTATATTTATCTGATTTACCATTTAAATAAAAATGCTTTTTGTAATCATAACAATCAAGGAAGAAGGCAACACCATTTGGCAAACAAACAGCACATTAAGTTCACTTTGCTGGAAATGTTGATACTTTGTTCCTGTAAAAACATGTGTTTATTGCCAATATAGCACAGAATTCAACTTGTATAATTTGATAGTGGGGGCAGTTTTGAAAACCCCCTAAAAAGACCGAGGAATAGTCTCCTGGGGGAAACTTTTTAAAAGTACTTGACACCTCAAGTGCAATCTGGTCTATTCCAAAAACTCTTATGAAGTATTTTTATGAGCGCCAGTCACGCTTGGTGGGGATGATCTAGTAGTATCCAGACAGCGGGTGAAACTCTTTCTTAGACAGGGAAGGGTCTTAAACTTACATTCAAAATTATGGCATACTCTTAAAAAGGGGCTCCCTGAGAGGCACCTCCAGCACTTCATTAGTACGTGTGACGCAGCTGCCTAAGCATAAATGAAAGGATTGAATAACACGGATACTTACCAAGAAAAAAAAATTCAGAACGTAATTTGAAAAAAAAAGGAAGAAAAAATGAACATACAGATGTGAGTGACTGGGATGGAGGTCGTCTGCCAGTAGCTTTTGGTCTGGTTGTAGTTGGATGACTGAGCTTCTCAGCGACTGGTACTACAGAGTCAAAACCTTCCAGATCTTAAAAACAAAGATTACACAGAGTCAATTCTGAGAATCATTCTCCAAGAAAAACAATACAAACTTATATTAAGGCAAAACAAAACTCCTGTCTTTGGTAAATCTCAAAGAAATTAAGTCCCCATTACATCATGTTGCTCCTGTTATTTTTTCAGAATTTAGCTAAAAAAAAAATCTAGGGCAGCTGAAATCTAGGCACTTGTAACTTCTGCCATGCATGCTTGTTCTTTTGGCTCAGTTATAATCAGGCACGGAAAGAGTATAGGAGCCTTTTTTGCCTAGAAGTGCAATTAAAGCTGAATGACAAAACTGGCTCACTCATGTGAAACAGAAAATGCAGCTGCAAAATTACCTTGTTACTGCTAGAGAGGCTAATCATTTTTCTATGAATAATTAGAGGCAGAAAATAGTATGCACATTTTCCTATGTTTGTATCACCAATTCTAGATTTGCACTACAGCATTTGATAATGATCACTAATTGACACCTATTATAACAATGAAAAGAAAACACCTCAGTAGACTCCTAAAACTCTACAGGGCCCAGGGTAAGTAGATTCAAAGAATAGGAACCTGGCTTGGCTTTATGTGACATGAAACATATTGATGGAGTATTTACTGAATCCAGACACATGCTAGTACTGAAGAAGGGATATAACATCTGAAGGAATATTACTGCTCTTGAACACGTTTGAATCAGATGGTTTAATATCATTAATCTGTTTTGTTTCATAAACAAATATTGTTTCAGCCACCTCAACTTAAGATATTCTACTGCATTTGTGCATGAGATAGATATATCACCCCTCCAGTCTCCCTGTTTTATCAAATTACTGGAATATGTGATTCAAGAATAAACTTGATAAAAAAAATGCATTGGCTGTGAACCAAAAACTACAAATCCTTCATAAAATATATAGACCAAAGAGTTAAATGGGATTGTATTCAGACCTGGTAAAGGAGCAATTAATCTTCTGCAGATCAAGCTATGTTGATATAATACACAAGGGTAATCTCCTTAAAATGACAGGTAATAGAAAATAAAGACCCATTACATGGATAAACTGTTGCACATTAAGTAGGAGAGCCAAACTGATTTCAGGTACTTAGAGGATTTGGTGGCTGGGAGTTAAATGGGATCTAGATTTTAAACTGTGTATCTCTGAGGCAGTAATATCCTGCAGAATCCCTAAGGAAGGTATGTACACTACTTTCAATAACCCTCTTAAGGTCTAAAGGTTATTCACCTCAGAATTTTAGAACATTTTAGGAATAACTCTTTCTACACACAACAAATAACTGCCCGTCCTCTAATGAATATGCCTTTAGCGCGTCTTTTGATGGATCTTCTAACCTACATCTTAGCCTTGCCACTGTGGCATGTTACACATTCTGCCACTCAGGATTGGACAGTCTAAAGTTACAAGTTCATCTTTGCAAAGGTCAGGTGATGCAACGAGCTCCTGTGGAAGAGCATGGATTTAACTTTAAAAGTCCAATCAGCCAACATATATCTGAAACCTATCCTTTGTGTGCTAGTGCTGCTTTTTGTTCGGGTGTAATTTATTTTCTCTGGAAATCTTAGTTCAAATGTGCCATCTGATTTTCAGTAATACCCCACTTCTATCCAGTTTTCCAGCTGAAGTGATAAGGGATGATGAGGTTAAGTGACTTGTCTAAGATCACACAGTTAATGAGTTGCCCAACTTGAATTCGAACCCATGACATTTGTTTTAACCACGATATACAACTCTGCCCTAAGTTTTAAAGATGGGGAATAAAGGTAAATTCTGACCCTCTTGACTCCCATCTCTTCCACCACTGAACCAAGAAAACACATTGACAGCTTCGCTGTTCTCTGTCTTGTGACTTTTGTACAAAACACCACTGTTCTCTCCTTTTTTCTTATAAAAGATAATTAAATGCTACAGGTAATTGGACTATGATGGAAAGCAACCAATGGAAAAGGAGGACGTTATTAATTCAAAGTGCTGGTTAGTATATAAAAGGATCACATTTGATGAAGTCAGCTCTCTCCATTTTTTAAGTGTAGCACTGCTGATCCTACTCATGAATTATTATCAGATGTATGTTTCTAGATTTGATCAGAGTAATCAAACATTCACATTTTGTTCATTTTAATGTAAAAACATATGGGTCAAATTCAGCCACTGAATGCATGTGTCACTGAAGTCAGTAAGAGCGGTGAGCATCTGAATGAAAAAGACTATTAAGAAAATTGGATGGGCCTTATAATAGTTTTGTCCATCGTGAAACCTGACTTCTATGAAAAGGTTCTATTAACAAGAAATAGACGGAAGGGTTTTAGCAATAGCCCAGTTTTTCAAGTTTCTGAATCTACAGCTGATCTCTAGAAAAATAGTTCAAACAGCCTATATGAGAAATACAGACTATAACAGAGAAATACAGAAGAGAGCACAGGGTGGAAAGATTTAACTTCTGTTATATGTTGCCAAACTAGTGAGATTGCAAAAACCCAACTGACACTATAAATAAAATCCTATTAAAGTGTAAGTCAGAGCCCAAAGAGAAGGACCCTTACTTGTACAAGTCTAAAATAGCAAACTCATTTATAGAACTCCCTTGCCCTTTTTTTGATCTTATTTAGACTTTTTTGTATCTCTTTCAAATCCTTCCCTTTCCAAGGTGATCAGCACTTCAGAGTCAGACCCTAAAGTACTATTCACACACAGAGAACAAATTATATTAAAAATTAATTAAATTGGTACAAGAAAAACAAAGACTTCAATTGCTCAAACTAAAGCCAGGTCTCAGTGGTAGCAGAGTTGGTGTATGAATGCACAGTGTAGAATGCTGTACAGTTAGGGTCAATTTTTTATTTACACGGCTTATTTTTCTGATTATTCTTGCCAATGAAATATAATGCTACAATGTTTTTTCCCCAATGGTCTTAGCCAGGTTTCCTCTTTACGAGATATCTATTGTACACACATTATATAGGGGCGTGCAGAAATGACAGCATTAAATGCTAATGCAGGCATGTGCTTATAAAACAGAATTTATAGATAGCTAAGGAAGATTATATTTGGGGGTTTTACATCTGAGTACAGTACACCTCCCTTGTTCTGGGAAACGTTGGATGCCATAACAGTAAAAGGAAGCAGTGACTGTATCCAAAGTCTTGCTAATTGTGCTGCAGGCCATTCAGCAGCCCGTGGTAGCAAATGATCAAATTCTTCTCACAAGCAGCCCTTCCCTTCCCTTCTCTAGTCTGACACCAACCAAGATCAGGGCAGTAGGCAGGGCTGGCTCTGGCTTTTTTGCTGCCCCAGGCAAAAAAGCCTCCCGTGGGCCCCCCCCCCCGGCGGGGAGCGCGGCAGGGGAGGGCGGCGAGCCCGGCCAGGGCCCCGCTCTCCCCGACCGGCCGGAGCGCCGGGGGGAGGGTGGCGAGCCTGCTGTGGCTCTGCTCTCCCCGGCGAGCCCGACTGGGGCTGCGCTCTCCCTGGCCGGCCGGCCGGAGCGCCGGGGGAGGGCGGCACATGCTTGGAGGACTGGTGCCTGGAGCCGGCCCTGGCAGTAGGCTTCACTTAAGACTCAGATGAAATCTTCAAATTCCTTAACTGAAAACTAGCTAATAACTATTATACAGATAAATAACTGCACTAACATTAATGTTTCACTACTGAGGATAGTAATGCATTAGACTCAGCGAGACACAGGAAGACCGACCAGAACAGAATAGTCCCTTAGTGTATGTGATAAGGCAGCCCCGCCTGGAGTGCCCTCCTGCAGCAGGCTGTGGCATAACACATGCACCTGCCTCAGTTTCCCTCCCTCAGAGTCCCCAGAAATAGTCTAAACAGTCTTTTTGAGTACAGTTGGCCCTTGTTGGGTTAACTGATTACAAAAGAATGCCCCAGGAACATAAACCATAATAAAATAAGTCAAAACACCAAGTCCCACATCCATAGTCCAGACACAATATTAAGTAGAGCCCTGGTGTCCCACACCACACCCCAGCTCTCTAGTGTGGCTCTGGTGTCCCTCACCACGGGTCACTCACAACCGTCAACCCTCCATTGCCCTCCACCTGTAGCTTTCTGACTCAGAGAGCCAATAGGCCTCACACTGCCTTCTTCTGCTCTCAGCCTTCAGGTCTTTCCCACCTTCTCTCTGGCCATGGCTTTCTGCCTCATGAAGGTGAGCAAGCTAGCACCTCCACTGCCTCCCTAGCCCTTTCAGTGTCCTGGCTCAGGCTCTGGCAGAGTGGCCAACTAGCCACCGCACCGACTCCTGACTTCAGCCCTTTTCAGCCAGCTGGCATTAGCTCTTGAAGCAGGCCAGCCCCACCACTGGCTTTCTGATAACCCCTCCCTCTCACCAAGGAGGGCCTCCAGAGAGCCCTCTGCTCTCTACAGCTTTCCCAAGACAATGCCTCCAGTCTCCTAACTTCCAGGTCTCTCTCAAACAGGGTCTCAACTCCCCCTCCCCCACATTCTCCCTGACCTTTTATAGCCCCAGGTGCTGCCCCACTCTCTTAATTGGCCAAACTGGGAGCACCTGCTCTGACACCAGGCCTGTTTCATTTACAGGGCCAGCCACCCTGTGGCAGTGTACTAATGCAGCACAATCTTCTTTAAAGTGTTCTGTTTGCTGTCCTAGCATAGTTGGTTAGAATGAAAAACTCAGCTGTGCAAGAAATATTCTCAGGTAAATTGGCATGGAAATCAAGAGTAGTTTTCCCATTACAATATCTTTTAAGGAGTGTGTGTGTAAAAATGTTATTGTTTTCAAAACAGAGCTAGGTGAAAAAACTTAGGATACAAGTTTTCAGCCTGCAAGGGATTTTTTTTTCCTCAAAAAGGAAAAAAAAAATGAAGTCATTAAGCAATTTTAAAATTACGGAGTTGACAAGAAATAGGTGAGGGGTTTAAGCTTGTTTCATAAGTTTTTGTTTGTTTGTTTGTTTTTTTGTTTTTTTCTTCTTCTTCCTTTTGGATTCAGCTCGTTGGTGCTTTG